CCCCCCCCCCCCCCCGAACCAAACTCACAACTCCCATCAATATCAAAACATAAATCCCAGGCCATTCCTCTCCTAGCCCAATGCACCCGGCACCTGCAACTCCATCACTTTGAACTGGAAATCCCTCAGCCTGTCTCGGTCCTCCTCGAACTCCTTCTCCTCCTCCGCCGAAGCTTCCCCCCCGCCCCCGGAGAACATGCTCAGCATCGCCGTCGCCCCCTTGAGCTTGTTCCTAAGAGTGGACAGTCAAGAGACGGAGGGTGGAAGCAAAGATAAATAATTACAATTAGATTAGAACCTCTGATAGTTTTGGTCGAGTGGGGTTTTTACTGTATTCCGGGGTCATGTTACGAATGGAGGTTATATATATAGGTTTTAGTGTAGAGGTTCTTGATCGAGCTCACAAATGTTGCTACCTTGTTAGATTTCGAGTTTTTTCGAGGCTATATCGACTTCTTGACTGACAAGTTCATAGGTGCGGGCAGAGATGGCGACAAAGGCAAGCGTGCGAAGAAGAGGAGAGGGATGTGTTATTTCAGGAATATTGCTGATGGTGTGCGTTTGTGTCTCTGCATGAATTCCGGACGCTTGCGTTCCAACAGCACAGCATCCCAGCAGCTAACTATATCATCGACCTGCCCGTGGACCCACTTCACAGAACGCATACTCGCTTGGCTGTAAGCGACACTGCCATCTGGAGACGGTCGCGTACGCCTACAAAGCCCACAAGCACAACAAGAAATACACGCCCGCGAACAACACCCCGACCGACGCCTTTGCTAAAATAGCACCACCACGACGTCGCGCGAACTCTCCTGTTGCCGAGAAAAACCATGCCAATCTTTGTTGCCCTCCTCTTTTTCTATCGTTGCTGACGTGTGCGGTGCTTCTGGCCAAATTGTCCTGGCACAATGCTTGTCTTGCTAACAGAGCGCCTCCGGTTTACATACTCTACGTCTTGTTGCTCCTTTTGTAGCTGTCCCACATGCGGCAGTCGCTTACGCTCTCCGCCTTCCCTACTTCCATTCCGGTATTTCCTGGACAGTCCCATTTGAAGACCCGGGACCCGGAGTTTCACGGGAAAAACCCGTTTCGGGTGCATGGATCCCCCTGAAAATGGGACAATGTAATTTTAGCATTTCCTTGACACCACTCCGAAAACCACGACCGGGCTATCTTT